TTCCTCCCCCTCAAAAAGATGTACAAATGTCCAACAAATGCACAAAAAGAGACTTGACCTCACTAACCATCAGGGAAATGCAAATCAAAACCACAATAAGATATCACCTTCCACATGTTAGAATGGCTATTATCAAAATACAAGAGATAACAAATGCTGGTGAGGATGTGGAGAAAAGGCAACCCTTGTGCACTATTGGTGGGAATGTAAATTGGTGCAGCCACTAAGGAAAACACTGGAAGTTCCTCAAAAAATTGAAAATAAAATTATCGTACAATCCAGGAATCCCACTTCTGGGTATATATCCAAAGGAAATGAAACCATTTTTTCAAAGAGATATCTGTACTCCCACATTCACTGAAGCATTATTCGCAATAGCTGAGAGATGGAAATAACTCATGTGTCCATCGACAGATGATGGATAAAGATGTGGTGGGTATATATGTATATTTCATCTGTAAAAAAGAAGAAAATTCTGGCATTTGGGACAATGTGGGTGGATATTGAGGACATTATGCCAAATGAAATAAGTTAGACAGAGAAAGACAAATGTTGCATGATCTCACTTATGTATGGAATCTAAAAAAAGCTGAGGTCATAGAAAGAAAGAGTAAGTTAGTGGTTGCCAGGGGCTGGTGGTTGGGGGAAAGGGAGAGATACTGATCAAAGGGTAAAACCTCCAGTTACAAGATGCATGAGGTGTAAGGATGTAATGTACAGCGTGGTGACCATAGTTAACAACGTTGCTATGAGAGTAGATCTTAAATGTCCTCACCTATCACCAGAACAGAAGGAAAATGGTAATCATGTGAGGTGAAGGATGTGTTAACTAAACTTATTGTGGTAAATATATACATGTATCAAATCATGTTGTACATCTAAAACTTACACAATGTTATACGCTAAGTATATCTCAGTAAAACTGGGGACAAAATCCTCTTTCCAGGGACCAACATGCATCATTAGTAGCAATGAAAACAATAATGGTAACAGTGATGATTCTTGGAACCATCCCGTGCATTAATGTTATTAATAATAGTAACGTGTATTGAAGCTCTGTGTGGACTGGGTCGTGGGTAAAGCACTTCATGCATTATCTCACTGAATCTCCATGATAACCCTACGGGTTAGGTATAGATATTAGCCCTATTTCCCTATGGGAAAACTAAGGCCGGGAGAAGTTGAATAATTTGCTTCAAAAAAACCAGTAAGAGGCAGAGCTTGCCCTTAACCCAGGCTTGCCTGGTGCCACAACTCACGTTCAGAATCACTGCAGTGCGTTAGATCCCAATGCCCGGGCCTTTCCTCTTACATTTTAAGAAAAGGTAAATCTTGAATTCTGATCGTGGGCCAGGTCTTCTGCTGTCATATTGTGCTCTTTCTTTTTATATGTAATCCTGAGACTGTTTCTCTGTTGGTTTTCCCAGGCTCTTTGGACAAGCCATTTTAGCTTCTTTCTGTTCATAATCTCTTGGGAGAAGGGCTGATGTATTTGTAAAATTATAGGCAAAACCCATTCTATTATCTATGGAGAATACCTGCCCCAGTGCATGCTGGGTTGAGCATTTTGTAATATTCAAACTTCAATCATTGCATTCCCTGAATGACAGCTTTCTCTGATCTAAGGGGAAACCTCATCTTTTTGTCTGCTGCAAATATACATGGTAAAAACGGACAGTGGCCAAGAGGCATATTATAATGCGAGAAAAGCATTTTCTAGGACAGTAGAATAAAGGTGATAATTTTAGAAATTGCCACATAGGCTAAATGGGTGGCTTCCTTCTTTTCCTTAACAGTTTTCCTTTCATCATCAGCTTTGAGCCTAAATTCCTGGCATAGAACTCAGCATGACACAGGCTGAAAGAAACAGGTTGAAAGAAATGGAAACAAACAGATAGTTCAAAAGAAATGGAGAGGATTTAGTTGACTTTTATAGGTTAAATTTCTATCCGAAGATTAATTTGCTCTCACCACACTCATAACTTTCCAGATTTCTGTTTACTTATGTATGAGGAAAAAAAAAAAAAAACCAGAAAGCAAGCTCAGCTAGGCTGAATCTAGCAATTAGTTAAATTACGCAGACATCCATTATTGAGGAACCTCGATTCCACTTGGAGTTGGGGTTTGTTTAGTGCCGCCTGATAATAACTTTCTGCTTGACTGATGGCTACTAACTCTGACAGCGCTAAGTGAATGTCAATCACAAATGGAAACAGACATGAAAACTCTAGGACCCATTAAGCCGGTTGCCATGATCGCGCTCCCAAATGCGTGTTGATTCAAAATACAGGCCAAAGAGATTTAATTGCCTTCTGGATGGGAAATATCTATGCTTCGAGTTTGCCGTCTGAGGGGTGCAGCAGAGAAAAGAGCGAAGCAGAGGGGCCTCGGGGGATCGGGAGAGCATCGTGCCCCGCTGACAGGTGCAGGAACAGGCTAAACATCTGTGAAAGGAAAGCCGAGGATTTAGAGACAAGGTGGTAGGAAATTAAAGCACCAAGAGATACTTAAGATTTTCAGGGAAGTAGGCCGGGAAACTGATTGTGTTTGTGTTGATCAGGAGCCGCCGAAATGAAGACAGAGCCCACCAGACTTCACTGTCTCCCTCCCCTTTGAGCCCCTTGGTGGTGATGTGGGCTTAAAGCGTGGAAGGACGCCTCCAGGAGCCCAGCTACACTGTCGTGGGGTGAAAATGAGCACTTAAAATGTAAACGCTTCTCCCAAATTCACGCGCTCCGGGCGGATGGGTTTGGAAGATGTTCGCCCGCTGTTCTCATGGAGTGGCCGCTCTGTGGGGCTCCTCTGAGACCAGCTAGGCTGGGGTTTTTTTAGCTTTGTGTGTTTTTTATTTTATTTTTCAGATAAGCCAACTGAGGCTTGGAGAGGATGGAGAATTTGGGTGGCAGTCTAGTGTCACGCTCAAGCAGACGGGCTCAAGTTCTGGATCTGACTCTTGGAATTTCACTGGGTGGTTGGGGCAAGTTTCCATCTCCCTAAGCCTCTGCTGGTTTTTCTGTGAAGTAGGGGGTGGGGCGAAGATATGAATATTGATGACAGCATTTACTATTAGGATTAACTGGGAGAATGCATGTAAAATACACTGTATTTATTTAATGTAGATTTATTGAGCACCTTCCACATCTCTGATCAAGTTCTAGGGGCTACATAATTTTGCTTTTTGCCCCTGGGTGGACAAACATGGCTAATCGAGGCAGCGGACGACTTTTATCAGATGTCTACTGTGTGCCGAGGTCCTACGCTTAGCTTTTACACACACACACACATCTTATTCTATCAGACGGTAACCCTGAGAGGCAGGTACTATTCTGAATCTCCATTCTGAGGTTTAAAGAGCAGAATCAAGTAACTTGCCCAAGGTCACACCTAGTGGGTGGCTGAGCTGCGATTCATTCAATTGATCCTTTCAACCGATATTTAATGAGCACCTACTACCGTGCTAGAGGCAGGCAAGGCAACAGCGAACGCTGAGCGGGACTCTGTCCTAACGGTGCTTCTGTTCCAGTCCGGAGGCTCACTGTACAACAAAGATTTAGTTCTGATGGGGACAACCTTCAGGAAGAAGACGTGTGAGGGCTAAGAGTGAGATCTGACCTGGTTTTAGGGCGTGACATTTAAGATGAGCTCTAAAGAGTGAGCAGGATTGGAGTGAGAGGGTGGGACGGCTGGAGGCTGTTTTCACGGTATTCGTGGCTCCTCTTGCTTGTCCTCAGTCTATTAACAAACAGCATTGGCTCCAGCTCCGGGTGTTGGCCACTCCCGTCCCACATTTTGCCAGCTGGGCTGACAGCCCTGAGCCCCCACAGATGCGTTTTTTCTCTGTCAAAGGGTTTTGACATCACTTCTTAGAATGAACCTTTTTCTTGACTGAGGGCTTGTGATTGGCCCTTGGCAAACTGCAAGACTGAAGGCATTCTGTTTGTGCGCATGTGTGTGTATGTGTGTGCCTTGTAGCTGTGAAAATGCCATCTTCAGTTATATCTCTTAACCATCCCAATTCTCAGCCCTTTTGCAGTGGGCAGGCAGTGAAGATGGTCGTTTTGAGTGATAAAGAAGCTGGCTAGTTCCTGGCAGTAAACCCTGAATAACCCCCACCCCCCACCTGCATGACCGCAGACAGAGAAGCCCACTCAGCATCAGGGCTGACAAACACCAACTTGTCAGAAACG